GCTAACTATTGTATAACCAAACAGTTATATTTATCGAATCCGCTATTTACCATCCGCTACCCATTTTCTGCTATCCGCCATCCGCTATTCGCTAACCGCCACCCGCTACCCCCTACAGCTATCCGCTATCCGCTACCCGCTGAATTTTAACCGCTGTACCAAACAGGTCCTGAATTTTTAATATTGTAATTTTTTTTAATATTAAAATTTTTTTTATCTTCATGGTTTTTTCTTCACTTTCGAAGGTTTTTCACGTTAAATTAATTTTTTTTATATTAGCTTATTTTATTATTTAATCCATTGACATAATTTTGTGGTTATGTTTTTTGTTTATTGATCTTTAGTGGTAGTCAAATTCTAGCAATGGTATCAAAGCTCGGAAGTAGGGATTTATCCCTAAAATTCTCTAATTATTTTTTATTTTACAATTTAATTCTAATTAAAAGGCTCTAACTATATATTTAAGTTGTAAAACATAAAAGAAAATTTTATTCTTTCATTTCTTTCTATCCCTCTCCTTTTTTTTTATTTAAATAAATAAATCAAATCAAATAGATAAAATAAAGGACTTTGTCCTCCTTTTCCTCTAATTTCTTTTATAACTAAATGAAGAAAATTTCTCCAAACTTAGTGTAGTATTCGGAAAAGAAGTGGTGATTGTCTTTGGGCGTTCATGAGACATTGCAGATTTGAAGTTTATTTAATTCCAAAATCCAGAACCTATCGACCTCAGCAATGACTTCATCAGTTGGTGTCAGCGCGTTTAACAGTGAATTCTCATCCGTTCAAGTGGGAAGACAATAGAAAACAAAGACCCAAAGTCAAAAGGCGCATGTGCTTGGAATTTAATTACATTCTTGGACCTCTTTCTTTTTTCATTTTTTCATTTTTTTTAAAAATATTCTAAGATTCATTCCTAGACTTAAACATGCTTAATCTAAGTCAAGTCCTTCCCGTTCCGCACTGATTAGTTACTTACCTTTTAATGGAAATATTATTTTAAGTTTGACGTTTAATTCCTAAGATCTCTTTCCTCAATTTCATAGTATAGTAGGAATATTTACTTAAAAAACATTGCCCTTGTTCAAAAAAAGAAAAAGTCAAGTCTTTTTCTATTTTTGGGTAAATCCCTTCCTCTACTTTAGAAGATCAAAAGGTTATGTTTTTTCTTTAAAGATAGGAAATTGTGTCGTTCTAGCTGCAACTTTCAAAACTGCAACTTGGAGTACAAGAACTGTGCATATATATGTGGGAGCCTTTACTACATTCAAGGGGAAATATCAAAACCGCCCAATGTAACGAATGTTAACTTCCACCATTTCTTGCTAGCAACTAGCAACGGAAGCCATATTAAATGGCGTGTCATTGCATACATAGTTTTTTTGGTTGTATCAAGGGTTAGCTAATTAAAAATATAGAGATTTGAATTTTTGAATTTGATCCCAAATCAAATTTTTATATTATAAGTACTAAGTCAATTAAACTCTTATTG